CATGGCAAAAAAACCCTGCCTTTTGAAATGAATAAAACAAGAAACACTTGTTTCATACTAAGAACAAGTTTCATCTAACGTTGTTCTTTGCGTTAGAAATAATGTATTATTAATTCTGTAATAATTGCCTCCAGTTTCTGCTGATTTCCAGCAGGTGGCAGCTGCTCCCCGTCTGAATCCTCTCGCAGCCTAAACTACACTTCATTGTGTCACAGCTCACTTATTGATTTGTGGTGATGAAAGTGAACTGAGAGCAGACAAAACAGCTGCAGTGACGCGCTTTTATTAACTTTAAAGAAGCCGAACGGGGAACTTACCGATCTCTCCCCAGTGGAACGGGTTGATGCCGCCTGTCGTGCAGTTATACACCAGGGCTGTTTTAGGTCTGCAGGAGATGAAAGTTACAATCATGTCGGACGCCAATAGACTGGTAAACTTTAGTAAATGGTAAATAGACTGTACTTGTATAGCTCCTTTCTATCTTATCAAGATACTCAAAGCGCTTTACACTACAATCTATGACCTCATTTACACATTCAGACCGCACTCTACTAGATCTATACAAAGACTAATCAGAGCTTTATCACATTCATACACTGATGAGACGCACATCGGAGGCAATGAGGGGTTCAATGTCTTGCCCAGGGACGCTTCAGCATGTGACTGCTGGTGGAATCGAACCCACAACTCTTGCATTGGAGGACGACTGCTCTAACCACTGCAGCCACAGCTGCCCCTGTACTGCTATAAGAGCGTATTCCTAACGCTAAATCAGTTTTTTTTTTTAAATATATTTTAGTATCAGAGCTGAACTTTTTTCAACAAACACAAGGAGGGTGATTCGATTGATCGGTTTTCCTCTAGAAACTAAAAGTTTTTGTTTGTGTTACACGTTTGGAGCAAATAAAATACAAAGTTATCGTTTTATGCGTCTACTGTAGAGAGAATAAATGAAATCTGTGTTGTAAGTTTTTAAAGCTTTAGATAGGAGAGGCAGTTTATTTAAAACATTATTCTCGTTGTAGAACATCTAACCCATTCATTTTTGGTGGAACACTGAAGAGATGACTGAGACAGGAAAAACCTCATGACGTAATGTGGAAATTGTGCAACCAAAAGAGATTTAATGGTTTAGTCACCACTTGGACTGGATTCCTTTTGGCAAATTATAGTAACCGTGCAAACTTTTAGACTTTTTCAAGAAATGCTTAATGTTCCCCTCATTATTTTCCTTGCAACACATTTATTCGTTGTTCAGGAATAGCAAATATTCACTCCAGTAATTTAAAAAAGGTGACAAAATGACGCTATCCGGTCAAAAGAAATAGATGGGTAGGTTTGTCCAAAGTTGGAAATAAGGAAAAATACTACCCAACTTTAACATGTATTAAAGCTTCCCTTCCTTAATGAATATTTATACACTATTCAATAATCTGCAATGGGCTTTCCTCCTCCTTGAACATTAATTACTGGGGTTACCATGAAGTTTAGATGGACAAATTATATTATTCCTGTAATAATATACAAAAAGTTACAAATGACTTGGAAGTTGCAAGAGGCAGAAATGTAAAAAATAAAGAGTAAAATGTGCAGCAGAAGATAATAAATTGCACTGGTAGATGCAGCAAACACTGAACTCACAAAGCTATACGCACAAACCTTAAATGGGTAAAAAAAAAAAAAAAGTTAAAATAAAATTTAAAAAACTGAACAAAAGCAAACAAAAATAAAGCTGCAGCTCCTCACCTGTGCACCGCCGTGTACCAGCCAGCCGCCAGCGTCAGATTGATGACCACGTCCACAGGGATCAGATCAGCCACTGCATCGTTGCTGGCCCTCATGGTGCGCAGGATGCCCTTCCCTGCCTGATTACGCAACACTGCTTTAAGACGCCAACATGATTAGAAAGGCCGTATACTCAAACGCGTTTACTCACAGCAATAAAGACTCCGCTCGGCCCGTTGAAGTTGTCGATCCAGCCCTGAGGTGTGAGAGCACAGAACATCCTCAGAGAGCTTTCAGACAATGAGACATTTAGTAGAGTGTGTTAGGTTATGTTACTTCCTGTGGTGGTGGGAAACGGGGGAGGCTGGGTGGCAGCGATTGCCGACTTCAATTAGACCCCATTAAAAATGAATGGCACTACTGGAAACAGACGCCTGTAGTTTTTAATGTGAAGCTGGAGTCTAATAACGACCTGGGGAAGAGATAAGGGGCGCAGGCTGCAGGGGCTGAACCGATGTTCACCTCGTGTGCTGGCTGAACGGGAGCTTTTCATTCCTCACAGCTCTGACACAAGCTGCCAAGGCGACTGCACGGTCGAGTGTGAGTGAGGCCATTTGAAGAGGCGCTGCCACGCTGAGCTTACAACTGCAGGCTGAGCAGAGCCAGAACCTGTCGTCACGGTCCGAACGCAAAAACGAACGACGCCGACATTCCCCGACTCAGTGTAAACAAGTGCTTCCCTCGGTTGTTCCGGCGTTTTATTTATGAACCATCTGCGTCTTTATGTTTACTTTTGTTTCATGCGGAGAGCAACCGTGGGCGTTTTATTGCATTTCTAAAAATTCTGTCTCATAAACATTTTCCACGCTCAGAAACTAGTCCAGGTAACTGGGGCCATATAAATAATACATTTACAGTAAGTTTTAACTATTGTTTGCCAACTGTTGATCTCAGTTTGGGATCTCCGTTAACTGAACATCTTTGTGGTTTGAACTTTTAGAGCTCTTCGCTTTTAAAACTAAAGCTGACAAAATCCTAAATGTTTTAGCTCCATTTCTTTCTGACAGTAGGTGGAGCATCTTTAAGGTGCGATCACAAAAAGTTTTAATTTTTCCATATAGGGCTGAAAACTGAAAATGAACTGAAGTGTCATGATTATCAGCGGGCTGGTCAGAGTGACCCAGAGAAACTGCTACGAGTCGAAATTATGAAAACATGCTCGGAGTGTAATATATTAGTTTAATGTTCTATGTTCCTTACAGATCCAGATGGCAACACTTTCTGAACCAGTCGAACTAAATTTATGATCACCAGAATTGATTTTCTCCAGCTGCTAACAGTCCAGTTCTTTGTTTAAGTGCAAAGTGAACAACAGGTGAGGAGTAAAATCTACCTGCACTGCGAACACTGACAACTCTGAATCGATTTTGTTGATGTTAGTAATGTAGAAAATAACCATAATGTTGTTTGCGTGGACACAAACGCACGCACAGGATGGCTGGCCGAGATATACGACCGGAAGAGAATTAATTGGTTATACACACTTTATCTTAAAAGTAGCCACAAAGGAGGAAGTCAGGGGTGGTGCTAGGGATGCACGATATGGATTTTTGGCCGATATTCGATATGCCGATATGATAAAACTTATCTGGCCAATACAGATATTTTTTCCCCTACACCTACTTACAGAGACTACAAAGCTTTCTCTGCTGTGGAATTAAAATACATTATTCTGCGTGGTCTTTGCCACTTCGGCCTGCTACCAAATGCAGATGCCAAAAAGGGGGCTGAAAAATGATGTAACACTATATAAATATATAATCTATATAAAAATAAAACGGCGCCTTTTCTATTGACAAGTTATTTTGATGGAATGGCGACGTCCGATATTTAACTTTATCGCTAATATCAGCCGATACAGATACCATGCCGATAATATCGTGCATTCCTAGGTGGTGTATCATGATAACTGAAATGCATTGATTATTGTTTTTATCATCATAGCTCTCAAAATCAAACCCAATTGTGATGTGACCACAGATTTCCACCGTGGTAAATAATCCACATTTATGGTAATCCAAACTTTCTCTCAAAAATAGTCACAAGTCACCACTTTTAGTTATAAAGACTAGGCCTTTCACAGTAACAAATTTTGCTGGGCAATTAATCGTCTTAGAAATTATTGCGATAATCGATAATGTTTGAAATTTAACAATAATTAATTGTCAAATTTTAGAAGAAATGTTGATTTGTTTGGAGTGTAGTACCTGTTTTGACCACCTGATGGCAGTATAAGACTGTTTGAACCAAAGGATGGAAGAAAAATGGGAGGGAGGACCCTTGACGTGACATAGTGATATGGTGGACGCTTGGTGATTTGAGCTCTTTAGCATAGCATTTTTCACACAAAGCTTTTAATAAAATAAAAAAAAATAAAAAAAATCTGTAAATAAGTTCTCAGCTTCTTTTTGCAGAGAAAAACAACTTTTTACACGAAGGCACGTGCTTCAACAGTGAAGTTTGGAGCTTGACAAGACGGAGGTTTATTCCTGAGATCGGCCTGTTAGTTTAGCTCGTAGCTTAGCTTCTCAGCTTAGCTGATTTCAATGATCCAAAAATGTGATTTTGGACGATTAAAACAGATTTTAAAGAGAAGAGAGAAAGGGAGGGGTCAGTGAAGAGCACCGGAGTTGAACCTTTTGTCATCCAGTGTCTTCAGTAGATAGAGAGAGACACGAAAAAACGATAAAGCCCGTAAATAAAAATGAGGTTGATAATTTTCATTCATCATGCGATTAACTGATTAATTGTTTACCGCGACAGGCACGAAGCCCAAAATAATCTTAAAAAACAAACAAACCAGTAATTGAACATTAAAAATGGAAGAAAGCCTAAAGGACACAAATGTTGAAGATGTTGGGAAACCTGCAGCAGGTAACCAGAATGCAGCGTTAATTATGGAAATAGTGCATTTTTTCCTAACTCCATCTGTGTGTTTACATACAGCTCCATCACTGATCCTTTGCTCTGTGACCTTATTGCCTCCAGCAGCTGTTTGCTTTAACCCAAGACAGGGTTGAAGAACAGGTCTTCAGTACATAAAATGTACTTTTAAAAAATATCTTGGATCAGCGGTGTGGACCCCAGGGTTACTTTAATCAATATCTTAATTTCATTCACTTCAAAGTTGCAGGAGAACTCATGATGAGGAACCCTGACTAGATAATTCATGAAAGCCGATTAAAAGTAACAGACAGCAGCAGATTGAGGTTTGGAAAATCTTATCTCTTGTAATCAACCTCGACAACACGCTACATCATCTAAACTGCAGAAGAACCTAATTAATCACGGCAGTTTTGCCGTGTAAGAGAAAAAAAAAGAAAAACTGGAAACTGCTCCAGAAGACTCACGGGGAACGGTTCCTGCCAGCTGGCTCCCACGATGGAGGGTCTGATGATGCCAATGTTGAGCTTGTCCTGCTCCTGCTGCACCACGTACTCAGCCAGGGCTTTGGTGTAGGTGTACGTGTTGGGTCGGTCGCCGATGAGCCGCGGCGTGATGTCCCGCACGATGCCGTCATCCATCCACCTGAAGTCAGATGGAGAGCCCAGTCAGTGCGATGAATCATGTACACACGGTTCAGAGAAGCACGATTCACGTTTTAATCTGAGACAGTTGTGTTCAGAGGTTTACATACGCCTATTGCAAGGTGAAAGTCATTAATTCTAGTCTTTTATGTACATTTGAAACACTTTAAGGGTGGAATGATCACATATCACAACAACTCCAATGACTGTTTTTACAATGTGCATTAAAAATGTTAATTTATTGTAGTTTATCCTCTAATCTAATCCACACAGGGCCAAAAATCCACTGAGGGCTGTCAAACAAATCCTTTTCATGCAGGCAAATAAAAACTTCCAGCTGCAGAAAAAACATCAAAAACAAAAAGTTACAGGGCTATGACGAGTTAAAATATATTCTAGGACCATCAGCACAAATTATTAAAAGGTACTGTATTTTTCAGACTATAAGGCGCATTTAAAATCCTTTAATTTTCTCAAAAATCAACAGTTAAAACTTATAACCCGGTGCACCTTATGTATTAATTCTGGTTGTGCTTACTGACCTCAAACCGATTTTATGTGTTACACGGTGCTTAAAAACCTGTCAAAATGTTTTAGTTTTGCTTAATGCGCCTTATAATCCGGTGCGCCTTATTGTCTGAAAAATACGGTAATACACAGTATGTGAATATTTCATAATTTTGTGCCTGTGTAGATTAGACAATTCATGATTAATTGAAACTTGTGCACCCAAGTTTTATATTGTATAACGATTCCACCCAGGAAAAACAGTTCAAATAAATCATTAAAAGCCTCAAAATAACTTGACATCTATACTCATAACAAGTGTATATGAACCTCTGACTGTAACTGTAATTACAACGGTTTAAGATTTATTATGATCGCCTTTGTCAGGATTGGAAAGCTTAAAAAAAAAAAAAAGTGCAGAGAAATTTGTCTTTCAGGCGATTATTTTAAAAACAAGATTTCTGCAGGAATATTATTGTTAATGTTTAAGTTTCAAGACGGCAAGGTGCTAAAAATATGTCACTTCTCTGAATTAATTAAGAACTAACAATGCATCCCCTGCAGAGTCACCACAAAACAAGGAAAAGTCTCATTTTGGACAGAATCTGACATTTTGATCCACTCAGTAGCCACAGATGAATATTTTTCTAACACCTACAATGTCTTCCCTGCTCTTTATGACAAAAATGTTGATAAAACGTCTTCATTCACTCACTCCAAAAACTCGATGAGCTTCTTGGGCTCGACAGGCGGCGGGTAGATGACCTCGTCTATGTGCTTGCGGTTGCAGTTTGCATAGGCGGTGGAGATGTGAATGAAGGCCTCGAGGTGGTGCATCTGCTGGGCCAGGCTGAGGAGCTGCTGCGTGGCGATCACGTTCAGCTGTAGGGCGTGTCTGCAGGTGAGAAACAGATGAGGGGAAATTTGCTTGTGTGGACTTCATCCCATTGAGACGTTGCAAACTAGCAGGGATTTGCAGAGAAAGGACTTTAAGCCCAAGCAGAACGACTTTACAGGATGGTGGGATGTGAAAAGATGAGGGAGAGTGATGAAACAGGAGGGAGAAACAGCAAACATCTGCTCTTCTTTGCAAATATGTTGATCTTAGTATTTTCTCGGATTCCTCGCTTTTCCAGCTCATTCTGCTGCGCAACCGGCCAGGAGAGCTCCCGAGTCAGCTCTAGTTCTCACTCTCTAAAAAATAAACTCTTAATTTTCAGACATCATTTCAAACATCTCCGCGATCAAATTTGATTTACTAGATAATCCATGTTAAATTGTGTTATTTAAAGGAAACGCGGAGGATGCAACACTTCATTTGGATCCCTGTGATCAGCATCTCATCCTCGTTTTACTACGGAGGGATCAGCCTAAACCAGAAGCACAGACTGCAGAGAAAATAATAAAAGGAGATTTAAGAGCCTCCGTAAAAACCTAAGAAAAAAAAAAAAAAAAAAAAAAAAACCTGACAGGACCAATAAAAGAAAAACAGGAGCCATAAGTCTCGTCTGAAAATAAAACTTGCGTTCCTTGAAAGAATGCTTATTGCCCGCTGTCTTGCACGTCAACTGCATTCAAAATGCTAGAGTTTATGTTGCCCTCACTCCATCCCCCAAGCCAGGGGTGGGCTCTGCAACCTTTAGGATCAAAAGAACCATTTCTGCCCCTTCGGTCACTAAATTAAACGTGTCCAGAGCCGCAAAACCTGCTACAATTGCCATTATCAACTGGTGGCCCATGGGCCACTTTATGTTTGTTAGAGGGGGCTTTTCTGGCCAGTAGGCGTGAAATTACAAAACTAAAAACATCTTATAATTGTTAACATTTATTGATATTTTTACATTTTAAGACAGAAGAAAAGACTGGATTACATCCATCCATCCATCAATTATCTTTACTCGATTTCCCTTTTCAGGTCACGGGGGTCACTGGTGCCCATATCCAGGTCTCAAGTCTATCACAGAAGACTGGATTCTTGTAAAGAAAACAAAACTAAAAAAAACATATTATTTGCCAATTTTTTTAAACGCTAAAACAATGAACTGTGCAGGTTTTTGTGTTTATTTTATTTTTTTATTGTGGAGAAATAGAGTATCCTACTTGGAAGAAATAAAGCATAAAGTTAAAAGGAGTATAAATTGCTGTGTATTAGAACTAGTATACACATATTTATAAAGGAAATGACAGGAAAACTGCTAAAACTAGTAATTTTTGTTGTGGGTACAACATCTGTGGGGTTTTGTTGTGGGTATAACATAAAAGCTCAAATAATTTCTCAACTACAGCCCCAAATCTCAAATGAGTCGAAAAGAATGTTCTGTGGATGCATTCTCATCTACCTGCCAGCTGTGCTCGAGTGCCTGACCACTGAGATCCTGGAACTAGCAGGAAACAGCTCATGACAACGGAAGGACAAGATCGTCCCTCGACAGACTGCTGGGAGGAGTGGTCATCGCTCTGGGAGGTGTTCTGCCCGGTATTTGGGCGGTCCTACAGCCCGGGGGAACCGAGAGGCCAGCTGAGTCTGGGTGGACGGATCGGACGGCATCTGCAGCCAGTTTCTTAGGATCCACTGTGGGATGGACCTTTACAAGAGATCCTTCCTGCCTACAGCCATCAGCATCTATACCATCTCTTAATGAAACGAGGATAACGAGTTACAACAAATAATTTCCCTTTGGGATTAATACAGTATTTTTGAATATGAATTTAATCGAATCCTATAAAATTCAGTTTTATGTTAGTTCGGGTCAAAACTTGAAAGAGTCGCTGCAGAGGGACCAAAGAGCCACATGTGGCTGCAGACCCCTGGACTGAGACCTCAATCTGAGGCCTCAGGGGTCAGTTTGACCCATGTGCAGCAGGAGAGTTAAATAAATGGCTGAGTTCCTGATAACATACCTCCAGACCAATAAAAAATTGAGTTAACAAAACCTATTGCTAGCTGGTGATAAATCACCAAACTTCAACAAAATAATATATTACTTGGAAGGTTTTGAGTTGAAGAATTTGAAAATAACTTATTGAAAAAAATCCTCATTGGGGCTCATTGCCAGGTCACAAATGGTGCTGGAGGGAAAAGGATCATGTTATTGGCTCACGTTGAACTAAAGGGTAAAAAAAAAAGATATAATGGCAAGAGAACATGGTAACAGTTTGGATATAAAGGGTAGGATTTGACAGGTTTCTAACCTTACTCCAAATAGAACACAGAGCTGTTTGTTTCTAATTTGTGTGGATTATTTCAGGAATATTTTTATTATTTTGGTTGTTTGGTTCGTTTTTCCTTCCATTAAAATAAAACCAAAGATCCATTGATTGAGTTTCATTCAAATCTGTGCAGTCGTCCACGAGATCTTTTGCTGACAAAAAAACAAACAAAAAAAAACCATATGCACGCCATTACATGATCACCCACCTTTCATGGGAGCTGGCAGTAATCACCCCTGCAGTCAAAACAATCCAAAACCATAAGCTGAATTTTAGATGACCACATCAATTCCTTAAATTATCCTGAAATAAATTAGAACAAAAGCACGCAACATGTCTGACTGTGTTTGGCTGAAGGCGACAGTCAGAAGTAGCTCATTTCAGTCGAAGCTGACGTCAACATGCAGCCGAAGCCTTGAGAGAAGCAGCAGCACCTTCAGGTTGTAGGAGACCGATCCAGCAGGGCGGCTGACAGGAGAAGAGGATGATGAGTGGAAGAGCTTGGGAGTGTGGGGGAGACATCCTCCCACTAACTTTATCATCACACGCAGGCCGTTACACCAACAAACCAGTTAGAAAACAGACTGGACAGACCACTGTGTGTGTGTTTCTGCAGGTGAGTCATCACCCATGTCTTCTGTGATTCATTTAAAACAACTCGAGAGCAGGACAGCTCTGACCTGAAGGTACAAACTATTTTATAAAACTGCTTTAAATGTCATCATTTTTTAAATATTATGGTTTAATAAGTAAAGTCACAGAAAGCCTTAGAGTTTAAAGTTTTATAATAAAACCACTTTAAAGAGTTTAAAGTCCAGCACACCCTGGTCTCCTAACTCTGGCATAAAGGAAGCGTGTGCGTTCTTTTTTACTGCTTTAGTGCTGCTGCCGCCACAAATCTCAGCTGTTTTCTAGACAGAAGCAAGTGCCAACAACTGTCAAAACATTCGCCAAGTTTATTTAAAATGAAGTGACGTCTGATTTGAGAATAAAGACATGTACAACAGAAACAACCCTGAACCGGAGCTCAGACGTTCAGAGTTGTTTGATTGATGTTACTGCACTGCTTACAAAGCTGCTGGCTGCTGTACAAGATTACAGACACGCTGATGGAGGAGGAGGAGGAGGAGGAGGAGGAGGCGCGGTGACCAGAGGAGAGAGGGACAAAAAAGAAAATGGAAGAGGTGAAGAAACAGAGGCAGACGGAGGAACCGGTCAGAAAGCAAGAGGAAGACTCAAAGATCAATATGGATCTTAGTGAAGAGCAGAGCAGCAGCTTTTTTCTAACACGTCAAGTCTGTTCATCTGTAGAGCTTATAAAAGTGAAGTCCAAATAATCGCACAGACAATACACCTCATCTCTACACTATAAACTAAAAGCACCTGTTAAAAACAGGTTGTGCAGCGAGCTGGGTGGACCCTTTGAAATCAAAACTAAAAATGTGCACATGTTCAAGTTTATTCTTTAAGTTTTAAAGGCACAATGCCAAGCAGCTGGCCCTGGGATTAGTGCAGTTTGAAGCAACAAAAGGACGTTAGAAAGGGAAATCAAAGATGCGTGTCCTTTTTAAAAATCATTTGCTTCAGCGTAGCCAAATACAGCATGAGCACCAAAGAAAGAGGTAATGATAAAATACAGTTTCACTCTGACCAACTGGGTTTTAGCTTGAAATTATATATATATATATATATATAAAAAAAGCTAAATATTGTGGCAAGAATCCTGACTCCATTATTGTCATGTAACACATGATTAAACAGCTAGGACTGTCACGATAAATTCTGCTGGGCAATTAATTGTCTCAGAAATTATTGTGATAAACGATAATATTGTTTGAAATTTGACAATAATTAGTAATTATTGTCAAATTTAAGAAGAAATGATTGTTAATTTGTATTGCATGTAGTACCTTTTTTGACCACCGGATGGCAGTGTGAGACTGAACCGAGGAATGGATAGTGAGGGAGCCAGCAGCGTGTCTCTAAGAAAAATGGGAGGGAGGCCCCTTGACGTGACATGGGCTGTCTCTCTTCAGTTCTCAAAACGGTGGACGATCTTTGTGGTTTGAGCTATTTAGCATAGCATTTTTCACACAAAGCTTTTAATAAAATAAAAAAATCAAAAAATCAGTAAACAAGTTCTCAGCTTTTTTTTGCAGAGAAAAATAACTTTTTACACGAAGGCACGAGTTTCCTTAGCTTCTCAGCTTAGCTGCTTTTAACGATCCATAAACGCAATCTTGTACAGTTAAAATGGATTTTAAAGAGAAAAGAGAAAGGGAGTGGTCAGTGAATCACACTGGAGTTGAGCCTTTTGTCATCTAGTGTCTTCAGTAGAAAGAAAGAGACAAAGAAACGATAAAGCCGATAAATGAAAACGATGTCAATAATTTTCATTTATCATGAGATTAATTGATTTATTGTTTATAGCGACAGGCCTATAAACAGCCTATTTGTATTTCATTTTACAGTGACTTTACTGTTACAGTCACATCTAGAAGAGGAGAAATGTTGAATTTGGACAGTTATTTTTAGAAAAGAACAATTTGGCATCAAGCTTAAAAAGTTCAAAGAAAAGCTATTTAAAAAGATTAAAACTTCCAAAACATTTGATCTCTAAATCCAGCCTGAGCGTCTATTGTCACACTGTTCTGTAGCTGCCTTTTACAGGACTGTTTGATTTCTTCACGTCCAAACTTGCACCACTTCCTGTTTTTGATAAAAATCAATCACACAGTTCAGCTTGCTCAATGGGAAGCACTTCCTCCTGAGTGCAGCATCATAACAGGAAGTTCCTGCTACATCAAAGAACAAACAGCGAGTGTAAATGCTGAAAGCAGAGTGAGCGACCCTTACTTGAGCGGCTCGTCGAAGCGGATGGTGGCAGCGCAGTGGAAGACGATGTTGATGCAGGCAGTGAGCTTCTCCACGTCCTCCGAGCTGATGGCGAGGCCGGGTTGAGTCAGCTCGCTGCTGATCGGGATGATCTTCTGATGGAAATCAGGGTTGTCCTCTCTTACACGGTCGAAAAGCTGCCAGACAAAAAAAAACACACAGATGTTTAAATTTGAATAAATTCACCAACATGGTTCAAACAATTAAAAATATACAGAACATTTAACTTTGGCAGACTCAAATGGCGACAACTAAACATTAAATTTCCAGGAATGCAAATGATCCCAAGCAGGCAAACTGCTGGAAGCAAAGGTAAACATGAGTTTGGGTTTATTATTATTATTTTCATACATGAAGCGATTTTACAAGGACACAGATTGGTTTAAGGACCACGTAAAGCTAAATTGCCTATTAATGTTTTATTCTACTTATCGTTTACTGTCTGTATCCTTTTATGTAAAATCATTGCAAACCTCCCAAGAATGGTTCAAAGCTGCACAGGAAGAGGTTCTCCAACAATTTATTTTGTGCGAGGGAGACCCAAGCATCAGAAGAGAGGCGTTTACTGAGCGTTATGTTTCTCATCTGCACTACCCAAGATAGTTCTGCAAAAACCATGTTGAACTTTATTGCAAATAAAAATATGTAGATCTTTGAGTAGCGCATTTTTCGGACTATAAAGTGCACGTAAAATCCTGCCGTATTAATTCTAGCTGTGCTTACTGACCTCGAACTGATTTTTTGTGGTTATTGTGAATGTTGAATAAAGTTTGACTTATGACCGTTTTGTTTCGCTTAATGCGCCTTATAATCAGGTGCGACTTATAGCCCGAAAAATATGGTATGTGTTGGAAACGTATTTCTGTTACTACCACACCAAATGTTTATAGTTTAAGCAATTTTTGTGTTTTCTAAGACCATTTAGCTGTGGTGGCCATCTTGAATGGAAGCGAGTCTAAAAGGTTTATCAGTTGTAGATACATTCAGTGGTTTGGGAGGGTTGCATTAAAATCCACTAGTTTGAGATATTTTGCTAACACATGCACAGACATGGGCAAAAACATGATTTTTTTAAAAGAAATAAAGTAATACCTTATTATGCATATAATACCTTATATGCATCTACAATGACAAAGAACTGTGAACCCAAAACAAAGCCCCTTTTGTGTGAGATTATTCCACTTGTTTCCTCTGCTGTTTGCCAACCGAGGGACGCAGATGACATTCCAACATGGAGCGGTGGGGGGGGGGGGGGGGGATTATGTGAACTCGTCAACATTTACCAGCTCTAGTCTCACACGGATGACAACCCAACCCGTTGAGAACCGCAGCCCCCTTGAGACGGCCCATGAAGCCCCTGATGCTCTCCAAAGGCCCCCAGATGTCACATTTCATCATGCATGCCTCTGTGCAGCGCCTGGTAGTGCTGCTTTACTGCTAACATGACAGTAAGGAAGACGACCCCAAAAAAAAAACAAAAACGTGAGGGGATGTTAGTGCATGCTGTTCTGAAATTTCTGCCGTGTGTGTGTCAGCTGTCCAGGTACATAGATGTTGAATTAAACAGTGACTTATAATCACTTTCTTTATCCTCAACTTTCTGCTTTGTAATGCCTCTCCTCCAAATACTGCTAGCTGCCCCATTTTTTGGCATGAGCGCTGACTCACAGCATGTGCTGTCCTAAGCCAAAACCACTTTAACCATAGCGGGAGGGCGGGATGGAAGGAGTAATTCCTGCATGAGATCGTGGCATTGTTATCATTAGGTAATGTCAAAAAATAATACTGCTTCATCCGTCTGCTCGGGGCTGACAGCTGGCAGCAACAGAATGACAGCTTGCAGAAAGGTGAGAAGAGCTTCACGGTGCAGCTTCTTCCAAAAATAATATGTTCAACCGCACCGCTCAGTTCTTTGCTTTGTGATTCAGAGAACTGTTGATGTCACGATGAACGTCCTCTATGGTGGTGCATTAAAGAAAAAAAAAAAACTAGCTATAAATTATCAGCGACCTTGCTACAATACCCACATGTTTTTGAGTGTGAGGAGGAAGTACTTAAGAAATAAATAAATAAAAAGCGTTAAAAAGCATCCAGCTCGACCCGACAAGAAAAATAACATTTCTTCTTCTTGGTTAATGAAAAGGTCAAGAGGAACTGGAGCTTCACCAAAAACCACACCATTTCTAAAATCTTTCTCAAGGCAGCTCCTGCTCAAAATTCAAACACCACTTTAGAATAAAAGTTAAAGTCAAAGGTCAACATGATTTTCATGTATGAAATGTATGAGAAGTGTTAAGAGAAGCAAGATCAAAATAAATGTTAAAGCTGCGCCCAGTGGCTTGTTATGGTCAGTATGGTAACCACACACCTCAGTCCATCAGCTTCACTACCAAGATAATGGAAGGCAGACTGAAAAGCCTTTAACAATCACTGTGCAAAAATTAAGTCAACTTAAAAATTATTGATCTGTGAGTTGCAGAAGACTGATGGTCATGTGTCAATTTTTACGACTGTTTTGTATAAATAGTATAAAGAAAGCCTTTGAGAAACATTGAGCTAAAATATAACAAGTCTATGGAAGATTCAGACCCTCTGCATTCAGGGAGAATGAGAGAAAAAAACCTTAAAGCAGAGAGACATTGGGTGAAAGAGAAAAATACATACATTTTAATGAATCATATATACCAGTACATGCACCAAAATAAATACTGAAGTAAGATAAGTTTGTTTGCAAGATAGTTGATAGTTTTAGACAGCTAACTGTTCAACTGGTTGCCTGTTAGTCTGTGTAGAAAACTGTAAAATTAAACCTAAACTATGATTATGTAAAAACCATAAGATTTAAATGCCAGTTTAGATGTGCATAATACAACTTTTGTTTCTCGTTTAAAATCTGAATGTTTTTCCTGTGAAGTATCTCTAGCAGCAAAGAGGGCTGGTGTTCTCTCATCAGTTTGAACAAAACTGACGAAATAACAGGAGAAATAACAGGAAGCCACCTCCACGTGAACCCACCAGTTGAGGGGAGGTTCACCAAGGTCGGGTACTATGCATGCCATTTTCTGGTGGTATAGACTAGCTCTAGGGGCATGGAACATCACTTCACTGGGGAGTAAGGGGCTGGAGCTTGTATGAGAGTTTGAGCAGTGCCAATGGGATCACCTCTACGCACAGCTTGGGCTCTGGAACCTATCTCCTGGAGAGAGGCTGGACTTTCTCCTACTCTGGAGTTGCCCAGGGAGAGAGAGGCATCGGACGGGTTTGGGTATACTCACAAGCCCCTGGCTGAATGCCTCTATTGGTGTTTTCCCCCTGTGGATGAGAGGGTTGCCTCTCTGTGGCTTTGGGCTGCAGGAGGGAAGGTTCTGACATTTGTATGTGCTTATGCACCAAACATCAATTCAGATTATTTGGCTTGTTTGGAGTCTCTAGATGGTGTCCTGGATGGCACGCCAACTGGGGATTCCCTTGTTTTATTGAGTGACTTCAATGCCCATGTGGGAGATGACGGCGTCACCTGGAAGGGGGTGATTGGGAGGAACAGCCACCCGGATCATTATTAGACTTCTGTGCTAGGTATGAGTTGTCCAAAACGAACACCATGTTTGAGCATAGGGTGGTTCATATGTGTAACTGGTACCAGGCCACCTTAGGCCGATGATCAATTTTGTAATTGTGTCATCTGACCTGCGGCCCTGTCTTGAACAGTCAGGAGAATGAGAGAAGCAGAGCCGTCAACTGATCACCACCTGGTAGTGAGTTGGATCCAGTGGTGGGGGACGCTTCCAGATAGACCTGGTAAACCCAAACATACAATGAGGGTGAACTGGGAACATCTGGTGGAGCTCTAGATCCATGCGGCTTTCAACTCATACCTCCAGGAGAGCTCTTCCCATGTCCTGGTGGAGGACAGGGACATGGAGTTCAAATGGGCCATGTTCATGGCCTTGGTTACATATGTGGCTTACAGGTCACTGGTGTCCATCAGAGCAACAACCAAAGGACCTGCTGGTGGAGACTAGCAGTGATTGAGGCCATAAAGCTGAAGAAGTAGGCCTTTAGGACTTTGTTGTCCCAGAGGACTCCTGAAGCAGCTGATTTTGTTGTCCCAGAAGAATCCTGAAGCAGCTGACAGGTGGTTGCGAATTCAAAAACTCGGGCATGGGAGAAATTCGGGGAGGCCATGGAGAAGGACTTTTGGTCGACCTCAAAAAAGTTCTGGCAAATTGTTTGGTGACCCAGAAAAGGAAAGCGGATCTTATCCCAGGCTGTACTTGGTTTAGGTGGGGAACTGCTGACCCGGATTGAGAATATTGTTCAGCGGTGGAAGGAGAACTTTGAGGATCTCCTTAATCCACCCACCATGTCCACCTTTGAGGTAGCAGAGTCCAAGGACTCGGGGGAAGACAAGTCCATTATCATGGCAGAGGTCAATGAGGTAGTCAAAAAACTCTTCAGTGGCAGGGCAACAGGGGTGGATGAGATTTGTCCCGAGATGTTGAATGCTCTGGATGTTGTAGGGCTATCATGGTTGACACGTCTCTTTAATGTCGCATGGAGGACTGGGGACAATGCATGTAGAGTGGCAGAGCAGGGTGGTGGTTCCCATTTATATAAAGGGGGACCAGAGAGTGTGTTCCAACTATTGTAGGATCATACTTCTCAACCACCCTGGGAAGGTTTACTTCAGGGTGTTGGAAGGGAAGCTTTAACGAATTGTCAAACCTCGGATTCAGGATGAGCAGTGTGTCTTCCATCCTTGTTGTGGAACAGTGGGCCAGATCTTGACATTTAAGAGTTGCTAAAATGGTCATGGGAGCTTGCCTTTCCAGCAGGGGCAGATTGGCCATTGGGAGCGCTGGGACATTTCCCAGTGGCCTGCCCCGGTCAGTGGCCGCCGAGGGACTGGACTAAAAGCTCGGTTCGGGTCGCGCTTTATTATTTGAAATAAACAAGCCAGCCCATTCTTGCGCCGGACTCACAGGTGTCACTGAAGCTCCCCCGCCCCTCCCTTCCCTCTCTGAGGCTGTCTCTCACAGAGCTGCAGCTGACAGCCCACCCACGTGAAAAATTCCAGCAAATAGAATGAGCGGTTAGTGCTTCCTTTAGGCAGAGAACCCCGTGGACTCACGCTCCC